GAGGTGTAAGTATATGGAAATTACAAGGTACTAACTATATCTTGGAAGTCCTGCGATCGATGCAAACGGTGAATGGTACCAAAAGCTGTATGAAATTCAACGGCGAAGTGATGGACAGAAATGACGACATATATATGACTTAACGGTTTGATCTGGTGCTAGCATTCCCTTGAAAAGCACAATGCATCGCGCTAAAAAACAGTTACTGATGTTAATTGGGCGTTCCTAACAACTCAAGCGACATTACAGCTACGCTATGAAAATTCAATTATTATAGTCTCCTGGAAGAGAAAGCAGTAATCAAGGGAAAATTCTCAAGTTAAGCAATGGTTATGTCGACCTGACAAACAATGACGTCGAGGGATAAAGAAGACTTAGAAGCCAATATCACATGATGGAAGCTGGGAACGGAAACTTCCAAGGTCGTTGTGGTAAAATTCTATGATTTCCACGATAATCATTCCACTGTCATGCTAAGTAGAACTCTTTCTCAGTTTTGCCTGCTAAACGAAGACATAGATGTCGACGCTCTATCTTAAAGAAGGCATGAAAATCATGTATTAATAGAAAAATTAATAGGAAAAACAGCTTCTCAAAACGTCTACCTCCTTGTTTAATGTGCATATGTAAAAATGCCTAAAAGATACAAGTGCTCGTGCAGTTTTAAATGTTAAGAGAAGAACAGCAACCAAGACTGTGCTGGTGGAAGGAGTTTTGTATTGTTGATGGGCAGACACGTGATTGTTATACGTTCAAATATAACAATAGTAAAGTTCGCGGTGGCGTAAGCCAAGGCGAAATGAATTTCCTGTCAGCAACTGAGTTAAACCTAGTTAAACCTAGAATGGTAATCATTGACGTCGAGTCTAGTGAAAAGTTAACTCGAGGGGTTAATATGGTGTGTCCTGGTTGGTTAGGAACGAAGAAGAGCAGCTTCCATTAGAAATAACGCTTTTTCTCCGGCAAATTAAAAGATCACTCTAGAAAGAAAAGGCTTTTTCTTGCGGATATTGAGAATTATCTCAACATGGTGAAGCAAATAATGTAACATGGTGCTAGGAAGTGAGCACTACAAGTGTATTACGTCAAGTATCTATATTGCTAACAGCATTTTTAGCATGTGTACCACAGTGGCAGAGATTCTGTCCAGTAGGAACAAAGGCTCAACTCACATTCTTTTTTATTGACAAACTGAGTTTCCTATCTCTTTTACATTAGGAAATTGGTGCAAGATTCTCTGGGAAAGGCTTTTATGATCCATAACAGCCGGAGACTGCGTGTAGTGAAGTCCTACAGACGCCATATTGCGTTCCCAGGTTTCCAGAAGGAATCGACTCGACCAGCATTCAACGTTGTTTGTAAAAGAGGATCAAAAATCCACAAGCACCGGCCGAACCCAGATGTAAATCCAAGGACTCTTCTGGGTGATGGATAGAAGGAGGTGAATGCACCAAGAACAATGATGAAAATCGTACAATGTGCGATTTCGGAGTCATGTAAAAATGATGAGAAGGATGTTTCATTTTTGAATTTTTTTTGCAGCATTTTCAAGCCTACTTGTTGTCCAACTTTTGTAGCGTTTTCTGTAGCAAGTAGTTTGTTTACAACGACTTAAAGTAAATCGAAATGATGTTCGCCAAGCATGAATTTTCCAACGCCTTCCTCCTTAAAATTTGGACATCCACCCGTAGAAATAAGAGCCCAAAGTGTTAGCAAACATAAAGCTAGAAAGAGCAGAACGTCTGAAATATCGCGCCGACCACGAGAGTTGTGGGCGCTTCCAGAATTTCACGACGACCATTTGAAGGACAGTAATCGAAGATGGTACTCTAAGAACTATTCGACAAACTGCAGAAAAACTCTACATGAACCCATTAAACAATCGACAACCGTTCATCTTACAATCACACAAATAGAACGAAGGAATTGTCGTTATATTATCTACACTACAGTTCTTTCGTGCAACAAAAGCGACTGATTTCCCAGTCACATTGTGATAAAGCGTAAAGTTTTATGCGTTGATCAATCTTAGAGGAAAGTCCCAGGTATTCGACTTCATTAAACATCGTAGAAGTGGTTGAATGCATAACGGGGCTTGCGTTGGGCTAACAACGCATCAAGTCTGTGCTGCCATCTTCCCAGACAAGTCTGGTACCAAACCACCGACTCCGAGAACACAAACGACATGGTGACAGGGAACGTGGAAACGATTAGTGTGTATTCCCCTGCAGCCCTCTCCATCACAGTTTACGTGCCCACAACATTGTCGCATACAATGAAAATAATTCCTAACAACGACCGACACTTTGTTCTATAGTAGAACGGAGATAAAAGTTCCAAACACTATGCACCGTGACATTTTCCACTAATGACAAGTTATTAATTGAGCAAATCTTCCAATATTTGGCGATACCATCACATCGGAAAATTACAGCCACAACGCCCATGATATATTATAACTGAAGTATACGTAGGCATCGAACCCTGCCTCACCAAACGAATCCACCGAACCTCGCGCGTCTCTAACCGATAGTATTTCATCAATCATCGCTGTCTTGATTTTCACAAAGATCCAACACAACTGCTGAGAGTTCAACCACAGAACTGTTCTCCTCCAGAAGTTCAGAACTTCAGGCCATGGGAAGAAGTGAATTTTTGTTTTAACAAAAAACATGCATGAACTTCAATCGCTCTGATTTTTATTAATAAAGTTCTTTTTGTTTTCTTGGGTTTTTCAAAGTTGATAGCATTTTGAAGTTGCTGTTGAATTCGCCATAATTTGTCTGCCGACCTAGTAATTTTTCCTTCTCGATGTCAATTGAATTTTAATTACTCAAGTAGCAAGAAATTGAAAGAAAATTCTCTAAGGTGTTGCACAGGATGGTTTGGGTAGAAAGCTTTTCATATTAACCGAAGAACGAGAGTGTCGAAGAGCGATGGGGTTTTGAAGTGGGCAACAATATCTTATAAGTACAAATGAAATTTAGTGCGGAGAGAAATTCGATAGTTGGCACCAGTTTGCCGTGAACTGAAGTCAACAAAGTGAAGTAAGGCTCTGAATAAGAGAAATATGATGCAAAATGTTGTGGACGTTGCAAACCATGTCCCACATTGAACGACTCATGAAAATCTTGTCGAAAGTTTCCCAACCATTCGAATGGACACAAGCTGACTCAAAGTGAATGGTGCAGTCCAAAAAAAACAATTATGCTGGCGTACTTATGCATGTGTATGCCTGTGAGTGTACAGATGGTGTGAGACAACAACTGACGTAGAAGGAAGAATGTCGCCAGCGTTCCAAAATGATAAAACGAGCGCAACGATGGAAACACCAGAACAGCGAGGCAGTGAGGAATGAACCACGTCGAATTTCTACTGGAAAAACCATTTAATATTTTTGCTGATGTTACGGAGAAATAGTTCACAGAAACAAAATTATGAAGATAGAAAAGAAACGATAGCAAAACGACAAACAAGCTACAAGTGAGAGATCGTCACAAAAATCTAAGAAAATGGGACCTATTTCCCACTACAAATTTCTTAATCGCCAATGAATTTTTTTGTGTATAACTGTTTAAGTTTAAATACTAGCGAGAGCTTTGACACGACGCGAATAAACTGCAGGAAAACTGCACAGATGTCGAGAATGAAATGTTACATATTTGAAAGCTGATTGGCCACTTTTCGGGAACAGTATTGCAGGTTTCATCGTGTTTTCCATTTAACTTCTATATCAGTGGTTTCGTGAGTTTTTTTCTGAAATCCCGAGAAACCTTCGCCAGCGGTTTCTCAGATTGTCGTCACAGGCAGTCGCTGCCAGCGCAAGAGTAGCCCAGTGGATTCTGCTCGTTTTTACTCGTTAGGCATCATATCTTCTTTTTAGGGCTATTCGAAAATTAATATCATAGGGACACGCGCAGCCCAGTAGCTGGAGGCGCCCTGCAATACACACGTGGTCGTTATCTCCATCCTGCGGCCTGAGCTCACGAAGCTTTTTGTACCTCGGGGTCTGAGATTTCGTGCCAGACCGATCTAGGAGGATGGGAGCACTAATTTGATGCACCGGAAGACCGTCGCGATTATATACGCTAGATATACATTCAATAACCTCTAACGATATTTGATGAAGCTGAATGCATGGTTCGTCCCTCCGAAATTGATCGACGTCAAGATTTATCCTTTTTAATCTTTGTACTAGCACAGTTCTAATCAATAGCTGGATTTCAGGTGCATATAACGAACTGCTTCTCAGTCTATGTAACCATATGACGGCAAGAACTGTACACTCTACGTTACAGGTCAACATGCATCAGAGGGATACCCAGTCACTACCAACGAAGTGGCACTTCAATAACTTCCTTTGCGAATCCTAACTACGCTTGCTTCCCCTAAATTATTGTCTAAAAATATTCACGAAACAATGTTAGCTGCTCCGAATCGCAGTTTATGAAGTTATGATGTTACAATAAAGTGCAATGATGTCAGTTTATGTCAGTTCAATTTAAATTCGTAGATAATGTTTTTGGCAAACCAAGGAAATCACGGCTGGAAAGCCGAAGAGAAGTGGCTGACGTCGCCAGGCCCAATCGAACTGTCTTTCCAGATAGAAAACTCTATCACCCAAAACGTCTTCGTAATCGACGAACGGAACGAATAACCGCTCCTTCTCCCAAGTCCGACTTTCTATTAACCTCGGCATTGATTGAATAATTCTTTCTACTTCTGTTCAGCAAACACGAGGTGCAATTTTATTTCTTTATTTACGTACAAGCTGACGTTTCGGCGGACTTCGCCTTCCTCAGAGTCTGGAAAGGTCAAGTTGACAGCAACCTATTCGGCCAAGCACCTCCATAACCAAACAGAGAAAACGCTGAACTAAGATTTCAATCACATTTAATACAGCTCTGCACACTCACCGCTTTCTATGAGTCTTCCACTGAGTATGTCGTGTGAAGACCGACCGCACAGAATTCACATGGAAGCGTAATGTGCCCCTCCCATCAGAATAACAGGTTTATATACTGTCCAATATCACGCGTGATAATGAGGCATTCCTCCATGTGGTTCATTTTCGGATGCTTGGAATTAATCCAGAATGTCTCTAGAGTTTTGCACGCTTGTGTTCTCGATTCTTGCACGAGGATCGTAACCTTTACTTCAAAATCTTTTCCGTTATGTTTCTGCGTGCTATGCGTACACTAGTGGAGTACTTAGCTTACGTTTGCCGACTAGATGTTCTTTGATACGTACTCAGAGTGGTCTACCCGTTTCGCCAACGTATTCGTCCCCGCACGCTTTACGAGAGATCAGATAGATATTTCGATTATCGTTACCGAATTCTCTAGACTGGCCCTTCTTAAACAGCTTACTTCTTTTATAGCTGCACTTACTTCATTTAAAATGAAGGGAGTATAAACGGGACCTTGTTGTCGCTAGAGTTATCGTTGGGGTACCTGTGGTTTCCACTACACCTATCTCGAGTTGCAGTTTCGTAGCCATTAAAAATGGCTATTTGCCGCGTGCCGCCGAAACGTCAGCTTGTACGTAAGTAAAGAAATAAAATAGCACTTCGTGTTTGCTGAATAGAAGTAGAAATAACCGTTCCTTCCGCTTAGAATTCTTGTGTATCACACTCGCACCGGAGTGAATGAAATAGGAACACTAGAATGAAGCAAATCTATCAATATTAAGGACACATTTGACTAAATATGAAAGCCACTGCCACCGGCCTTATCGTAACTGGCGTTTTCTTCTGACTAGGGCAAATGAATGATGATTATTTTGCTCGGAAGGGCTGAGCAGCAGCATAGATATTAAATGGCCTTCCAATTCTTGAGAATCACTAAAGAACAACTCAAAAGACCGTGGCTTTCTTCATTTCACTTCTCGATGTATTTCCTACTCCTGGACTGTGGAGTTTATGATTTTCACTAAACTAAATTTTTAACCAGAAGTACGTTGTTTCTCCAAAACACTTTCTTCACCGCTTTCCGCAAGAATCTCATTTCTTGGCTGATGGCAAAAGATCGATAGAACTAGCTGAGAGACAGGCAAAACGAAGGACCCGGATGGTATGGTGGTGAAGTGCGCTGCTCCCCGGTAAGGACAACAGCGCGTGTTCGTTCCCCACCGCATACACCTGCGATCCGGAGTTTTGCAAATATCTCAGCATCATTGAAGTTATATTTCACAATGTATACCCTGCCGTTAAAAAGAATAGGCAGTAGATAATGCGTTAAATCTCATTTCTCTCAAGAAATCTAAATGCCGCATTTTTCCAATCTTGATCAAAATTCTTTATGAGGCAATCATTCCCCAAATCAACATTTTATTGATTCGAAACTTACGTGATCTGTAGCGTTGACGCATTGTGGATATTTGGCTAGAAGATGTTTAACCGTGATCGTCTGTCCGTGTACCAATGCCTTATGGAGTGGTGTCATCCCTTTACTGTTACTATTGTGCTCCATTACAACTCGTATGACCTAATGTCATTGTCGTCACCTACCGTAGGAGTCTCTGGCTAAGGCAAGTTGCTCACGGTCGATTAGTGATTTCACACGACGTACGTCCCCATCCTCAACCGCTTTGTGAATGGCATTGATTTTTGACTGAAAGATTTTTTGTATAACAAAACTTCTGAAATTCGACACTCTTAGTGAAATTTTTGGACTACCTTGTACGTATATGGAATATTTAGTGCAGTAGTAGTGATCCCATTCATTTCAAACATGGTCTAACATACTCATCCGCTACTTCTACTTCGTCCTCAGCTCACCAAGCCCGTTATTCCTCCGGGGTGGGGAAATTGGTAGCATACTTTTTGATACAACAGCATTACTTCTAATCCACATGGAAACGCACTATCACTGCTCTCTGGGGGTTCTAGGAAAAGCCGACTCGACCACCTTTCAACGACATTTGTGACGAAGACGAAAAAATTCTCAAGAATCCGTCGAAGTTAGACGCAAATCAAAGTTTGAAGACCCTCGTGGATGTTGGATGGACGGAAATGAATCAAATGTAAGAAGTGCTGGAACCCGCACAGTTTGAGTTTGACATACGTGATGTCGAGTCATGTAGTAAATAATAAACTATAATGATGCTGAGATATCTGCAAAACCCTGGTGTCTGCGGCAGGAATCGAACCTCGTTATTACCCTTTCCGGGGCTAAAGCGGTCACCACCACGACATGCGGATCCTTTGTTTGGCCTGTCTGTCTGCTAGTTCTATCGATCAGTGCTATCCGGAGTTTTGCAAATATCTCAGCATCATTATCGTTGTATTATCATGCCTCTATCTTTTTCTACTCGTTAAAGGCAAAAGCCTATTTTAAAAAGTATTCCGATGATAACCTCTTCTGTGCACCTTTACGGAGAAGCAGATCTAATGGACAAAAAACTTGATGTCAATTTCCGGTGTTTTCGCAGTTTCTATTAAGTTTCTCTTCCTTTTTTATTCTGTCAGTACAAAAATTTCACACCTGATACACTGCGACACCGCGAAGGAATTCCTTGGTAGCTTCGTCTGTTGCTGTTTTTTCTCTTAATTACCTTTTGTAAAGGTAAACCAGAAGTTTAAGTGAATGAATAAATAGAAAACGGTCGCTAACTTAAGAAGGTAGCCTCTTCCGTCCAGCACTAACTGCTCCAGTTTCCCCACATCACCGTTGGCTATCCATTCGTCCACCATGAGTTCTGTTGGTGCATCTGGTATAACAGCAATTTCGCTAATTTTAGATAACCACTGTTGATCTTAAAAAGTATATTTCAAGCATTTTATGGGGTACACAGCGAACCCGTTAGAATGCACATGATCAAACACTCATATTTTATGACATTTTACTATGATGTTCTAGTAAAATAGAGACTTTTCAAGCGGATAACTACGTAGCAGAACACGTACACATTCATTTTGAATGCATTGGTTGGTTCGACAATGGAAACGATTAAAAAGAAAAATGATAGAAGTGGTGGGGCACAGAGTTTTCGGGATAAAGCTTTAAATAAAGTATAAAGCTCTCGGCGTTTCAACCCCTTAGGGATGTGCCATGCATTCGACTTCATTAAGCTCGTTTGGAGGTGCCTGAATGCATATTTGGCCTTTACAATGATTCGCGGTGGCCTACCGGTGTATCGAGCCAGTGCTGCTATCCTCCCAGACAAATCTGGTACCAATTTTTCAACCCCGGAGGGTTGGAAGGATTGGTGGGCCATGGGAGCGGGAATCGATTCCATGTGTGTGTCGCAGTGGCGCCTCCAACCACTGGGCCACACGCGCCCTTTTCGGGATCTTGTAGAAAATAAAGCTTACTACGAGTCCCTTCACTATTTAGTTTTAGCTGTGACAACAAAATGAACAAAATGAAAAGCAATGACTTGCCATCGTATAGCCTGTATATTTTTTCAATGCACTTTATTGAGACACCCTTTCTACACGTATTGATGGTAAAGTGAAGCGATGGATAGCTTTTAACAAAGAAATTACCTCTTAGATAAGATCACCAGAATTAAACCAGAAAAACGTTAAGGTTATGAAAACGGAAAAAATATGAGGCAAGTCAGCGAGAACAAAGAATGACACAAAGAAATTGGTAATGTTGAAAATTAAACAAAGTAGATAACTTTTAGTATTGGGCATGAATATACGACGACCTATGAGAGCTCTCGTGACCATCTGATGTGAATATGCGAGCAGGTAGTGGCTCGAGCCTCCATAGAACCAAAACATACGGCGGAACATAACGTGACGAAATAGGCGGTTGTTAAGGAAGTTACCGCAATTCGGTGAAATTGCCACAAATATTAATACGCTTCTGCTATTTTAAATCAGCTATCGAGTCCATATACTATCAAGACAAAATGGGCAAGCAAAAAGTGCAACAGCTCGTGATTCCATGTAATAGCCCTAGGTTATTTGAAAATTACTTCACGGTTTTAACGTGCATCTTTAAAGTAGTACATTTCAGTTTGCCTTAAACTTTGATAATGGAACTATCTAATATGAGCTCTACATTTCGACTAACAACAAACAACTCTGCTTATTTCGGGCACATATAAACTTGGAGTACCAGGGGCGATAAAGTTGTTGAAGGCAGTTTTAGCCTCAGCTTGGCTTCTGAGGCATTTCTCCCATGAAAGGTTATGGAGATGTTGGGACCAGCATGTTGAATGAGGCACAGTTTCGTACCCGCGCTCGTTCAACCTCTACAGCTTCTCATGAGTGACTTGCAACAGCTCATTATAGTTGAGAAGAATTGTTCGCTTTCCTTAACTATTCTGCGTGCAACAGTTGAAGTGTCTGGTTCATTCAGTCGATTCGCTAGACGTACTTCTCAACCGTCATCGTTTCACCCAGATTCGTGAATTCGTGATAAATCAAAGCAGGTGTAGGTGGGCAAAAGATAAGCATGGCCTTCTTTTGATGAAATTTCGGATTTGCAAAGTGCAGCGTAGTTTCATAGTGGTTCAGCCACTATAGTGACTGTGGCTGGTTATCGCACAGCCCCATTTCTTGTAGTGCGTGACAATACGGCCGAAAAATGGATCATCCTGGTTGCACGGGAAAAGCGCGAAAGGCACCACAAAATGGTGATTTCTTCGATCGTCATTCAATTCAAATTCAAAATTCAAAAATCGTATCGTCAATCGACATCTATTTGTCGACTTTCTACGGCTTTGCAAGTACTTTCAGATGCTACAAAGCAGTTGAGACGCTTACAAGTTCTTCCACTGGTTCGTGTGTTCGTGCTTTCACTCTTTCTTAGCCCAATAGCCCATGAAAGTTTCGAGTGGTTCGCGCTACACAATGGCACCCACTTTGGATTTCAGCAGCATAAATTTGTAGAGATGTCTAGGAATCTCAATTCCCTACCTTTAGGATTCGTTAAGAACTTATTTATATCATCATTCATTAACACAGAGAGGAAGTGCATAAAATAAGCGTTGCATTGACATATAGTAGCACGCCATGAAAAAAAGCTGTCATTAAAAGATCTACAAGAAAAATAAAGTTGCAAATCGTCCATTAATTCCCGTATCACCCTAATACACGCATGCTCGCTGGTTCGATCCGCACAGGTCTACTACATCATACAGCCCTCCAGGAATAGCAAATCTGTACTCGAATCATCTAGGAAAAGCTCTTTCCGATCAACAAAGGGTGACAACTGCCTTTGATTTGAAAAAATGGGAACACTCTAGAAGAGCTGTCCCACTATTCCGGAGAGAATCAACTGGTTGAGCATTCAAAGACATTCGTTAAGAATACAAAATCCTAAGCAAGCGATCAAATCTGTGTGTGCAAATGCATGCAAATAATTTATTGATGATGGGTGTGAAACAACGAACCGAATGAAAGAATTGTTGGGATCGGCACATTATGTGAGATTATAGAAATAAAAAACTTTTACTTTGTTTGAAAGTTTTGATTTATTTAGTTTAAGAAAGAGCGCATATGACCCAGCGGTCGGAGGCGCCCTGAAACACACACACGGGGTCGATACTAGTGCCTATGGCCCACCAAGCCTTCCATCCCTCCGAGGTTGGCAATTTTGTACCAGACTTGTCCGGAATGATAGCAGCACTGACTCAATACATCGGGAGGCTACCGCGAGTCATTGTAAAAACCAGATATGCATTCAATCACCTTCAAACGATGCGTCGAATGCACGGCACGGTGCCCCTCAGAGATTGATCAATGCCGAGAACTTTATCCTTTAGAAAGAAATAGAAATAGAAAGAAGGAAAAGGGAAATAGACGATAGTATGAAAGATACGTGAGTTGTTGACACCATCATCTAAGTGCGTCGGAAAAGATTTATTAAAAAGATTTGATAACGCTTACGATGAAGAAATACCAAGTAGCAATAAAAAACACATAATATAGCTCTAATTTTTATCTTCGTATTTTTGTTGAGCAAACGCGAGGTGTTATTGTTCTTTGTTCACGATTAAGCTGACGTTTCGGCGGATTTCGCC